AGCTGTGCTCTGTGGTGTTGTCAGGGGCTGACTTCTTGGAAGTAGATCACCAGCCCTTTCTCCTGAGACACCCCTGGGTAGCCTTGAACTCCAGCCTTTCTGTGAGCAGCCACGTACATTAACTGCTGGCACTCACCAGGGCCTCTAGACGTAGACTGCCCACTGCCATCGAGTTGATTCTAACTCACAGCGGCTCCATAGGGCTTCTTTATGGTAGCAGACTGCCTCATCTCTCTTCCGTGGAGTAGCTGGTAGGTTTGAACCACTGACCTTCTGGTTAGCAGCTGCATGCCTTACCACTGTACTGCCAGAGCCCTTTAGGCATAGGATGGTTGTCACCACCTCTTAGCTTTGCACCTGGGGACTTGAAGAGCACAGGTCAGTGAGGGCATCCTTCATCATACAGCCAGATGGAAGATTCAAGCTACATCAGTCACCAAACACTTGACTTTCACAGAAATTAAGTCACTCGCTTACAAAGCTTATAAGTCACAGGAGCCACTGAATGTGGTCCAGACTTGAACCAGGCAAGTTCAGGGACTGCAAGGGTTTCTTTCACCTGAGTGGTCCACGGCCTGGAGCAGCAAGCGAGGCAGCCAGCCCAGGTGTTTGGCCTGGGGACCTGCTGCTTCCAGGAGTACCCTTTCCCTGCTGCCAGGGGCGGCCAGCTTCTCCCCCCAGCAGGTGCTTCTTGTTCTTGGTACATCAATCTGAAGCCTGAAACATAGAGCTAGAAGAGTGAATAGAGACACAGAGAGAGTGCCTGTGTGATGGCCCTCGGCCTCCACATTCAGCAGAAAAAATGGGTTTCCTCTCTGGCATGGCCATCCTCCATGTCCACCTGGCTGGCACCCTGAGCCGCAGTCAGGCTTGTTAACACGGAAGCTAAGAGCCAGGGCCAGAAGCAGGAGCCTTTGAGAAATTCACTGCTAGGTTTTGAGTAGTTGTGTTGTTTCATTCCATGGAGATGAGACTAGAGTCACCATATACAGCCTGGTGTCAAGCAACATATTCATAGGCTCTTGACACACAGGGCTCTGAACACTTATGCTACATTATGTCACCTGTTTGGGATCAGTTCTTAGAACCTAGATGCTTGGTGTCTGCTCCCCTTCAAGCAGGGAGCGCGTGACTCACTGCGGTCCTGGTGGGGGACATGCAGCTTTACCCACATCTCTACAGGTACAGGAGCATCCTCAGTGCTGCCCTGTGTGGGTGGTGGTGGTGGTGGTGGTGATGGTTGTAGAGGTGTTGGTGGAGGAGGTGCAGGAGATAGTGATGATGATGGTGGTGGTAGTGGTAGTGGAAGAGGTGGTGGAGGTAGTTATAATGATGTACCTGGTAGTCCTGCTCATGGTGGTGGTGGTGATGGTGGTGGTGGAGGTGGCAGTGGTGATGATAGTGGTATAGAGGAGAAAGAGAAAATGGTGGTAACGATGGTATGGAAGAGGTAGAAGAGGTGGTAGTAATGGTAATGGTGGTGATGGTGGTGGTGACATTGGTGACAGTGGTGGTGGTGGTGGTGGAAGTAGAGGAGGTGGTGATGCTCATGGTGTAGAGGAGAAACAGGAAATGATAGTAATGATGGTGTGGAGGAGGTAGAAGAGGTGGTAGTAGTGGTGCTTGTGTTGTGGAAGTAGAGGAGGTGGTGATGGTGGCCGTGGTGGTGGTAGGTGGTAGTGGTAGAGGAAGAGAAGGAGGTGGTGGTGGTGATGGTAGTGTAGAGGAGAAAGAGGAAATGGTGGTGGTGGTGATGGTGGGAGGAGGTAGAAGAGGTGGTGGTGGTGGTGGCAGTGGTTATATGGTGGAGGTAGAGGAAGTGGTGGTGATGGTGGTGAGGGTAGTGGTGGTGACGGTGGTGGTGGTGACGGTGGTGACTGGTGGTGGTGTGATGGTGGTGGTGGCAGAGGAGGTGGTAGAGGTAATGATGATGGTGGGATGGAGAAGGCAGAAGAGCTGTGGTGATAGTGGTGTGGAGGAGGAAGAGGAACTGGTAGTGGTGGTCATGATTGTGGTGTGGAGGAGGTGGTGGTGTGCAGGAAGTAGAAGAAGTGGTGGCGGTGGTGGTCATGGTGGTGGAGTTGGAGGGGGTGCTGGTGGTGCGGGTGGTGTGGAGCAGTTAGAAGAGGTGTTGGTGTTGGTAGTGATGGTAGTGGTGGAGGAGGTGTTGGTGGATGTGGTGAAGATAGAGGAGGTGGTGTGATGGTGGTGATGGTGGTGGTGGTGGTCCCTTGTCAAGCCCACTCCATAGCAGGCACTGCACTCCGGGCTTGGTGTGTGTGAGCTGGTTTCATCATTACAGCACATCCGTGAGGCCTGCACGTGCTGTCTCCATTTTACCCATGAGGAACCCAAAGCTCAGAGAGGTGATAGGGCGTCACTTGTGAATATTGGCCAGGCACGGGAGCTGGAGTTTGGGCTGCAGTGTCCTTGTCCTTGACTGTTGCACTGTTTATACAGGCTTGTGTACAGCTGTCCTAGGTGCCGGAGCTTTCTCCAGACCTTACAGATCCAGAGCTGCTAGTAGGAGTCCTGGGTGCTTCACAGTTAGCGGCTTCACTACTGGCCATAACACTGGCGGCTGGAACCCACCCAGAGGGGCCTTGAAGACAGGCCTGGTGACCTGCTTCTGAAAGGTCGCAGCCTTGACAACCCCGTGGAGGAGCTCTGCGCTGACACTCACGGGGTTGCCTGAGTCAGCATCAATTTGCCAACAGCTAACAGCGTCAGCAGAGGTTCTGGTGAGGGGCCCCTTGTTCTGAAACACAGCATTTTCTTAGAAGCTGTGAAGAGAGCTGGCAGCACATCTGGCTGGGCAGAGATCCTCTAACCTGTCCCTCAGGGGTGCCCTTCACTGAGGGGTGCAAGGGAAGAGCTGGGGGCTTAGCTACCAGGAAGGGCAGCATGGGGATAGCACCTGGTACAGGAGAGGACCTAGCCAGGTCTGGTCAGATCAGCTCTCCAAAGAGCCTGCTTGTGCTCATACGAATGACCCTGCTCATGAAGACATTTTTTACAACTGAAGAAGAATCCAATTTTGCATCCGTGTCTTTACCTGGCTGTGGGGTTTGTGCCCGGCCCGTGTTCCGGAAACTGGAGGGTTAGTTTCATGCCGTCACTGACATCCCTCGCGGCTGCCTCAGGTGGGATGCTTTCCCATCACCGTTGTTTCACTAGCCGTATCACGAGCTTTGCTGGTCCCTGGGTGGCAGACACGGTTAGCACTCGACTGCTAATCTGAAGGTTGGCAGCTCAAGCCCACCCAGCAGCACCGTGGCCTGCTTCCGTGAGATCCAAGAAGTCCGTGACACGGGGTCACCATGCGTCGGAATCAGCTCAGGGGCAGTGGGGCTGGTCTGGGTTTGTCAACAGCCTTCTGACTACAGCTTCTTAAACATGGTTGTGTCAGTTGGCCACTTAGATTAGGAATACTCAAGGGTGCATTTCCTTTCCCAAAATGCCCTGATGCTAGTTGAACTTTCTTTTTTTTTTTATTTTAAAAATTCATGCAAAGGACAACGGCTGATAGACCGAGCACCTGTATACCCGGCCCCGCAAATGCACTTGAATGGCAGACAGCGTGGAGTTAGCTCGCTGCTGTAGCAGGCTTCCCTCTCCCAGGCCCTGGTGGCGCTTCCAGGAGCACGGTGGCTGAAACCAGTTCCCTGGGAGCCCGGCTCTGGTGGGCGGGGCCTGAGCCTTTATCTAGCAACAGTGAGCACTGGCTAGCTCGTGCCCAGGGCAAGGAGCCGTTTCACGTGCATGTCGGCACTCGGCTCTGGTTTCAGCCCCCGAGTGTAGGTGCGAGCGTGGGTGCTCACCGCCCACCAAGCACAGCCAGTTTGCATGAGGGGCTTGGGCTCCTGTAGACAGCATTGTTATAGAAGATGCCAGCCATTGTGGGACATGGGGTCACCACACATCAGAATCGACGTCACAGCCCTGGGCTGGGGAGGGGCGGTGGAGAGTCAGCTGGGTTCAGGGGTAGCTTGGATGTGAAATGACCCTGAAGGTAGAAACTGCAGACAGTCATCATTGCTTAGAATCTGAGGAGGGTGTCCCTAGCTTATATTGATTGACTAAAAAGTACACCCACTTCCAAATGAGAAGGGAAAGAAGAGAAAAGTGGTGCCCATGCTGTGACCCACGTCACTGTGACCCTCATACTACGCCCGTTTCCGAGTGCCATCTGTGCTCAGGGATGTGAGCGCCCAGATCAAGCCAGTTGTCACTGCGTTATTCCAGGTCCCGGACACCCAGAGTGTCAGAGGAGAACTGGGGGCTCCACAGGCCTGGCAGTGGCTGAGTTTGGGGAGGTAGATCTCCAGGCACCTTCGGATGGACTTGAACCTCCAACTTTTTCGTTTGCAGCTGAGTCCTTAGTCCTTTGTACCACTACAAACAAAACCAAACTCACTGGCGTCAAGTTGAATCTGACCTAGAGTGACCCCTCCTTGGGTTTCCGAGGTGGTATCACTACAGAAGTAGATTGTCCAATCTTCTTTCCAAGGAGAGGCTGGTGGGTTTGAACCCCCAGCCTTCTGATTAGCAGTCAAATACCTTAGGCACTGTGCACCACTGGGGGCTCCAAATATATAGCTAGAGATAGGATATTGGCTCCGGGGCGGGGAGGGAGGGAGAGGCAGAGGAAGAGGCAGAGGCAGAGGCAGAGACACAGAGAGGGCCTCGCTTCGTGTTGCTTCTGCTAATGAACCCAAAGTGGCCTGTCCATGGCCCTTTCTGCCGTAGAGAGGGGCTGAGGAGAACGCCAGCGTGGGCAAGGGCCCCGTGGGACAGGGTAGCCACTGAGCTGAGCAGTGTGGATGGGGCGGAGGGCTACTGAGACTGCGGGATGGGCGGGGGGCTGATGCCCGAGGTGCCCTCATTAGTCACCCTGGAAGGTGGGGCTCTTGAGTAGCGCCCCTGCCAGAGGGCTCCATCTCCCCCTGTTGCTTTCGCCCTTTCTACAACTTTTCCCACCATTTTAATCTTTCCTAGAGAGGAACGATCAGACAGAGCAGGAAGAAAGAAGAGAAATCAAGCAACGATTGACCAGAAAGGTACCGTCCACACGCATCTTGTTTCCCGAACGTTAAAGAAGGTGGAGGAGAGAGCCATGTGTGCCGCAGGAGGGTTGGGGATTTGGGTGCCAGCGGAGGCCTTCCACCATTTACCAGGCCGAGGGGCATCATTCAGTTCAGGCCACCGCCTCCGCAGCTCTGAGTCCACTCACTGACCTCCTGCAAGGCAATGCCTTTGGACACACCCCAGTGTGGATATCTTCCCCTGGGGCCGAGGCCGTCCCCAGCGTGGGGCAGGGGCAGTACAGCCCAGGTGACACCTCACTCACCTCCAGGTGGAAGCCAGGTTTCACGTGGACGTTTTCTTCATTTGAGATCTTTTCACACATGCTGAGGAGTGTGTACTGGGATGTCAGTGTCATCTGCATACGTGCTGAGGAGCATGTATTTGGGTATTGGGGTGATCTGCACGCATGCGGAGGAGCGTGGACTTGAGTATCACTGTCATCTGCATGCATAGTGAGGAGCGTGGACTTGGGTGTCGGTGTCTCAATTACCTTCCAGGTTGTTGCTTCGGGCCACCTTCCATTTGTCCAGAAGTCCCTTAATTGTGGGAGACTTAATTAGCCTCAGAGGTTTATGGCTAAAATTCACTGTGGCCAGTGTCTTTAGCAGCTGTGTAGATTGGCCTGCACGGGGCTGGGGCCTGCGTGTAGAGTGATGACCGTTTCCTGGCTCTTTTCTGGTGCTGCCTCCCCTCCGTTGTGCGCCCTGAGAAGAATGGGCCCCGTCCTGCTGAAAGCTGGCGTCCTTTCTGAGCCAGACTCATGGGTGCTCGTGGTTAGCATGACCCCGTCATCACGGATTGTTTTAAAGCCTGGTCTGTGGCCTGGAGAGCGGTGTCCTGAGCTGTGCTGTGCACAGAGGCCGCCCGGTGGTGGCGGGGAGGGGTCCTTCTGACAAAGCACATTGGGAAGGGGGTGTGATTGGAGTCGGTGCCCACGCCCTTCACCTTGGAGCTCACGGCTGTTTATAGGCCCTGAAGCGTGTTGAGCGTGTGTTAAGAGCCCCTCCTGCAAGCTGGTCTGGCACATGGAACCTGACTGTGCTGGGCCTTTATTTCAGCTGAATCAGAGACCCACTGTTGATGAACTGAGAGACAGGAAAATCCTGATCCGATTCAGTGATTACGTGGAAGTGGCGAAAGCGCAGGACTATGACCGGAGAGCAGACAAGCCCTGGACGCGACTGTCGGCAGCAGACAAGGTACGGGGCGGCCCTGGCCACGCTGCTGGGGCTGCACCGAGCGGGAGGGCAAAGTGTGTCCGGCCAAGGGGTTAGTGTGCAGACAACATGAGCCATCAGCAGTTCCCTGAAGCCGGTGACCAGGCTGCATGTGGAGAGCACAGGGCCGGTTATAGGGCAGTGGGCTCAACTGGAGAACGGTCACCTCCCTGGGGACATTTGACGTGGTTGTGGTTTGGGCCTTGGGCGTTTACCTGAGAGAAAAGTACGCCATTGAAGTGGGTCATGGGAAGCTGGAGGAGGGCCAGATAGCGGCCTGGCTCTGAAAAGACGAGGCACCCCCTCGGACATGGATGTAATCACTGAGAAATGTCACCGTCACATGACAGACGCGTAATCGTATGCTAAGGAAGGAACGGCTTTCTGATGATCTGATTACAAACCCCAAGTTAATTCGCCAAAAGCTAAACTTGATCTTGTTTTTGGAGTTCCTGCTTCATATGGGCCCTGAGCCTGAGCTTGGCCACCTGGGGTGCTGGGCTGATGCTCCTCGTCCCCCAGTGAACCCACCGCACACCCCAAAGCACTGGCGGTGGACTAGGCCTGGAACTAGCTCGGTACAGCTGGAGACCTGAGACTGACTGTCCACGTGCCGACCGGAACAGGTTTCTTTGCTTTGGGCTCTCTCACAACGTGACAGGAGTACTCAGGTATTAGGGATGGCCGTTCGTACACAGCTGCCATGCTCATCAAAAAGCTGAACTCAGCACCTTCGGGTCAATGGCGACTCCTCCAACCCCCACTCGGTTTCCAAGGCTGTAAATCTTTACAGAAGCACATTGCCCCATCTTCCTTCTGTGGCGCGTAGGTTTGAACTGCTGACCTTTTGGTTAACAGGCAAACGCCACTGCCCCACCAGAGTGCCTTAACCATGGTGCTGACTTCTGTCCATGTGCTTACTGTCCTGTCTTTGATTCCAGGCAGCTATCCGTAAAGAGCTGAATGAATACAAAAGTAACGAGATGGAGGTGCACGCGTCAAGCAAGCATTTGACAAGGTCAGAGCGCGGGGTGTGAGTCTGACGACACTCCTAACGTGGTTCTTGTTTTGGGGGAAAGAAGTCTTTCAGAGCCATAAGGAGCTGTGTATCCAGCCAAACAAAGTCAGCATTTCTCCAGAGAGCTCTGTTGACGAGGCAGGCTACACCCTGCTTATAAACGCTGCCCACGCTCACGGTTCCTGGCAGGCTGGGGGGAAGGGAATCTGTAGGTCCGTATTACACCCCCCCCCCCCACCAAAATAGAAACGAACTCACTGCCATTGAGTTGGATCTGACTCAGAGCAACCCCTCCTTGGGTTTCCAAGGTGGTATCTCTACGGAAGTAGATTGCCCAACCTTCCTTCCGAGGAGCAGCTGGTGGGTTTGAACCACCAGCCTTCTGGTTAGCAGTCAAGTGCCTTAGGCACTACGCCAGCAGAGCTCCAGTATTACACAGGTCCATGGTTTCTTAAGTAATACGCAGTTCATAAAATTAGCCTCACAGCAATCGCAGTAACTCTGCTCTGTATTTCATTTCCACTCCTTGGAAGGAAGGTTGGGCAATCTACTTCCATAGTGATACTGCCTCGGAAGCTCAAGGAGGGGTCACTATGAGTCAGATCCGACTTGATGGCAGTGAGTTTGATTTGGTTTTTAGTAGTCAGAAGTCCCCTCTTTACCAACCTCCCGATGACATTTCTGGGAATGCCATGAGGACTCCCCTGCTTCCTGCTCACTTTCTCCATTTTCTTGAAGTGTAAAGGCCCAAGTTCAGCATTCATCCCTCTGTTCACGGTTGGCCCATCTGCATGCCAGGTGCCAGGAAGGTGACAGCGAGTCAGATACGGAGTCAGATCCCAGGTCACAGGCCTCTGCTGTGTCCCCAGCCACCACTTCCACATCAAGCCAAGGGCGCTCTCTGCATCTGTGTCACCACAGACGAGGGAGGACGCTGGCTTCTTGAGAGGGTGAAGCTAGAAGAGCAAAGAGCTACTTCTCTCTGCTGGTTAGGCTAACTGGACATCCTTCTGGGGGCCCCCCCGTCCGTGGCCACGGCCAGTCACACTTTTGGGGTTCTCACATTCATCTCTTGTACATCCTTCCACGTGCCCGCCCCATCTGTGGCCATGACCGGACACTGTTGGGGTTCTCACGTTCCTTTCATCTGTTGCACATCCTCCTAGGTAGCCCCCGTCTGTGACCATGGCTGGCTGCACGCCTTCATCTGCATCCTAGGAGACAGCCATGGAGCATGAGTTTCCGTGCAGCACGTGCTTTGTCTCTCCTCCCTTTCTCTAAATAGGCTCAAGCCCCAAACAGAAAGAGAATCCTGCATGGAGGCCCTGCCTTGAGTAATGAACTCCTGTCCCCTTCTCTTTAGCACTAAATGGCTACTCTGTAAATCTGTAAACCACTGCAGCTGTGGGACAGAGTCCAAGTGCAGTAGGGTTCCATCCCGCTCAAGTGCATCAGGATGAACATATCAAGGGAGGAAGGGGAAGGGCAGGAGAAGATGATGAAGTCAGTTTTGTCTTTGAGCTGTTTAAAGGTTTCCTGTGACTGGCGTACTTTCAAGGAGGTAGCAGTCATGTGTGATCACTCGGTACTCCACTGACTGACCAATACCCAGGCCGTTCTGTGTAGTCTCAAGGGGTTAACTCTCAGCTTTGAAACTAACCACTTGTTGTTGTTGTTGTTGTTATGTGCCGTCGAGTCAAACCCGACTCATAGCGACCCCTCCTTGGGTTTCCGAGGCAGTATCACTACGGAAGTAGGATTGCCCAACCTTCCTTCTGAGGAGTGGCTGGTGGGTTTGAACCACCAGCCGTCTGGTTAGCAGGCAAGTGTCTTAGCCACTATGCTACCAGAGCTCCCTAACTAACCACTAGGCAGCCCTAAAAGTCCAGTGGGCTATCTCAGGGGCCCAGAGTCCTGAGCCGGAGGTCCTCTGGGCTCTATTTCAGCCAGAGCAGCTCTGTCCTCACAGTTCACACAGTAGGCCTCTGAGAAGCGTTTCATTATAGTAACACAGTGGACTTCTGAGAAGCATTTCATCATAGTAAACTTATGTGTGAAGATGTTTGGAAGTCTTTACTATGTTGGAAATACATAACTTTAAATTCTTTGTCTTTTTATAACTTGTAGATTCCACAGGCCATAGAGATTTTCTTCTGAGAAGAATTTGTGTTTAATTTTTGATACCAACACTGAACAATCATCAGGGAATTCTCCTGAAGCCTGGCTCAAGGTCACCTGGTGCGTCTGTGAGGAGTGGGACCACACACCCAGGTGACATCTCTGCCACACTTACCTGCAAGAGGAGCAACCAGAGGACGCGCTTCACTCTTTGGTGTCTGAAGAGTGTGACGCGTTGGGTCCGTTAAGACCCAAATAACTCTACATAAGCAAACTGTCCTTTGCCCATGAACCTTGTTTTACAGTTCTGCAGAATAACAGGACGGGAGACGTGCATGTGCAGGCTGCCACCCGAGGCCTCTGACATGTGGACATGGGATGGTGTCATTCAGTGTTATGTTGAAAAGGCATTTTTATTCTGATTAATTTGAAACTTTCAGTTCATGTTATACAAAACAGTTGATTACATTAGACTCTGTCCTTTTTTATAATGTCTAACGAAAATGACAGCTGCAGCATTTTGATTCCTGTTCATTTTGTTCTTTAATTAAATGACCACTGATTTCAGGAGATGGACCCAGGCTTCACGTTTTCTTGGGGTTGGGTGAGAAATTTGTTAAAACAGGTATCTGTGAAAACAAGTCAAATTTCATTACTTTTGAACCATCAGAATCCAAACACGTGGTAGAGAATTCCAAAGTTTTTATGTGCTTTGTTTTGTAAGTTCTGTTAGTATGTGTGGATTGTGCCTTGGAAAATCAAATGATCTTTTTCAAGTTAATTTATATTTGTGGATCAATGAGTGTAGATGGGTTTGTTAGCCCAGACAGAATGCTGCCAAGATGAAAATCCTGTCCCCTTCCTTTGAGAGCATTTTGAAGTTCACGTTTCCAAACATGATTAAGTGTCTGTTACAAAAGACGCAGATTTAGATGGCGTGGGAATTTCTGAGGGGAATTGCACCCCAACATGAGGCTGACACAAAGGGGAAGACAAGCTCACCAACCATGAGCTTGCTGAAAACGTCTTCTCCTGGCCTTTCAGTGCAGGTCCCCTCTGTGCACAGGTGGGGAGCCAGGAGCACTCAGGACCTGTGCTCAGATCCAGACTCTGCCACCCGCGGGATGACCACCTCCCTCTCCCCACAATGCTGTGACACTGAAAGGGGCCAAGCAGGTAGTGGGCCGGCACCGTGCGGGCGCCCTCTGTGCATCTGAGAAACACTGCCACCGACATGGTGCCCAGTGGTCCCGGAGCGACTGCATCCTCTGGTCTTCGCCCCACATCTGCTACCTCGTTGCTTTCCGCGACCCTTCCTTTTCTCCTTCTTTAAGGCTGCACGTGTGCCAGTGGCCTGCAGAAATCGCTTCACTCTGGGGGGCACTTGGTCCTGCGGGACTTGGGGTCAATCCTAGGTCCCGGGACATACATACTATTGGTTGGCCACTAGTCTTTTATAAAAAGTCATTGTTATGAACAAAGAAATCCCAGCTCCACTCTCACTTGCTGTGGAACCTTCTGTGAATCCCTTGACCGCTCCAAGCCTCAATTTCTCCATCTGTAAAATGGGAAGCAGTTCGTTAATTTTATAATCATTTAAGATATGTCCTTTTGTATTGTTTTATTCATAAGCCATGATTTGAGGCCAACATTGAAAAGTTACCTGGAATTGTTTTCTCATTTTGAGCAACAGCTTGTAGCTCATCCAATTTTATATTTTATTCATAAAAGGATATCAGTTAGAGCCCCAATTATGTGAAGCTGAGATTTTAGTCCACCTGGCAGAGGAGGACCCATGAACTTAGTGTGAAGACCAGAGAGGGGTGCTGCCATCTCAGAATCCACCCCGGTCCCGAGCTGGGCGCACATGGAAACTCCAAACTCTGTCTGTGGCTGGATGGGACCTGGTAGATGGGACCCGTGGTAGGTGGTTTGTCCATGTCACGTCCTATGATTAATGGGTAAATCAGATGAAGGTAAATGAGATTCAGTTTGCTGTCTGAAACCAGCAGACACTCATTGCAGTCACGATTTCCAGCAGTATATCTAACTCCTAACCACTGTGTTTTTATCAATCACAAACTCTTGCTCTAAACTCTGCATCCCTTATTTCCTGCTCCTACCAGGTGTTACAGGTAAGAGACAAGCTCAGCTGTGGATCAAGGATTTTCCTCTGCACCTGCGAGTACGCTTGGTCCTGACGGAAGTAAGTGTATGATGCCGTGTCTCAAATACCTTTCAGCCTTGTTAGTGGGAGGAACAGAATCCAAAAGCAACTCATAAAGCATGGTCCTGGTGAGGTGCCCACGGGCAAGGACGAGACACACCCAGAGGCAGGTGCGTGGAGTTAAGAACAAGGAGACTCAGGAAAACACGTCCCTGCCACCTGCCATAGTTACAATCAGAGACAGTATCCGAATTCCCACAATTCTTCATTACTCACAGTGGGCAGGCAGGAGCTGTATGCATTGAGTTTACAAATCATTTGCTTCTATTTACACAGAATAAAATATGACCAACTATTCAAGTAACACTGAATATTTAAATCATCAGAGAAATCCTGGTTTAAGTAGTTGGAAAGACTGAAATAAATTTGATCTTCTGTAAGGGAATGACCCCTGCTTTAGCAGCATCCTAAAGTTTTAAGCCAGTCTGATGGGGGCACAGTACATGACTTCATAAATTTAAAAATTAAGGGACCTTAAAAAAACAAAAAACAAACAAACAATAAAAACACTGCTGTCAAATCAATTTTGACTCATAGCAAGACCCTTCCTTGGGTTTCCAAGACAGTATCACTATGGAAGTAGATTGCCCCACCTTCCTTCCTAGGAGTGGCTGGTGGATTTGAACCGCCAGCCTGCTGGTTAGCAATCAAATTTAAGTTATATCAATTGGATAATTTTTGGACAATTGACAGAGACAAAAAACTTCACATCAGGAAGTCCACCTTGTGGGATGACATGGTAATTACATTATTCCATTATATATTTGGAGGCAAGCATTGATGTTTTTAACTGTACATCTATACTTCTTCAACAGCAAACTTAACTCCCAAAATACAAAATCCTAATTGTACGGCTAAACATTTTAGTCCCACATGCTTCCAAGACCCATTTTACCCATTTCTTTTCCAGGAATTTCTTACCAGAGTACTTCACATGAAGGAAACATCTCAGATGATGATCAGAAGCCACTGTTAAACTGGACTTATGAAAAAATATTTTTAAAAAGTTAATTTCTCTGGAAATTTGTTGACACTGAACACAATATCACTACCTCCTATTTAGACAAGAAAACAAAGTGTGTTAGATGAGGAGTGGAAAAGTTATCAGTGGTCAGTCCCACAGGTCGGAAAATTATGTTTAAAAAAAAAAAAAACAACATCACCATTGAGTTGATTCCAACTCACAGTGAGCCTCATTGGGTTTCTGAGGTGGTAAATCTTTAAGGAAACAGATTGCCCCATGTTCCTCCTGCAGAGCTGCTGATGGGTTTGAACCACCAACCTTCTGGTTAGCAGTCAAATGCCTGAGGAATAAAAAGCACTTAAACATTATCTTAAATTTCAGTTGTAAATGTCCTTGAAGAAGAGAACAGGGAAATTATAAAAATGTTATTTTTATGATAATATTTTCATGATACTAAGCAATGGTAGAGAGATCTGGATACCTGCTAAAAATTCCATTTAAAAATTGTAAAGCTGCTGTTCCGTGTTATAGACACATCATTACCTTCAAGGTGCACTTTCTTTCAAAGACACCGGCACTGAAACAGTTACCCTCATTCAGGTGTGTGCCCTCAGCAACAGGCAGACCGCATCCCATCCATCCCCTGCTTCCAGGCAGAGGACGGGTGCTTTAGAGCGTGACACCTGGTGTGGCCGGAAGCACGGCTCCCGGGACCACCAGCCCCTTTCTTGCTCCGAGGTTAGTTGGTTTCTCACTGATTTCCTGGTCTGCTGTTTTGCTCAAAATTCTGCTGTGGTTGTTTGTTCCTAGAGCTTTTGTATCCCTTCCAGGGTTACTCACTTCAACTTGATATGTTTAGGGTTTACCTAGAAATAGTTGTTTCTTCCATGGATGTGACTCGTGTCAACAGGTGATGACAGAATGGCTAC